GACTGAGGTGGATGAGCGATGGAAACGTTACTCGATCCAAACAATCTGTCATGTTTCATGATGGTCAGCTGCACAGTACGTGAGTTTCCGTATGCAATCAACGTCAAGGGGTTCCGTCACAAAGGGATGGGGGTAAGATGAAGTTTATCATGAAACATGAAGGTGCGGGACTCGCGCTTGGTCTCGGTTCTTTTGCTCACTCCAAGCCAAGCGTCGGATGTAGGTGAGATAGAACAGGAATCGTTTTTGGTGAAAACAAAATTGACCAAAGCGTAACAATGTTACTGGATGCTGTGGCGGTGCTGTTTAGGCCAGTTATCATCCAACTTTGCGTTCTGCACGACGTCGTTGAGTGGACAGATGAATTGCACCGGTTCCGGGTTCCGATTCTTGAGGTCATGGATCTTGAAGATGCTGTAGAGGATCATCTCTTTCGAGCGGGGCCCTGGAGTTTGATCTGTACTGTCCAATGGGTGCCTGTCTGGAGGATGTAGCTGAGCCGGTTGCGGATCGAAGGCACCTGCACAGGTACTTGATGCTTTGGTCGTGTCGAGAAAGGAGCTGGTCGACGGTGTCCAAGCGAGTTCTTGTCTCGTCCAGGCTTGCGTAGATGGTGGTGTGGGATATTGGATGAGGGTCCTGCGGGATGGTGGTATGGAGGCGGAGTCTGTCTCGTAATTCTTGTAGTTGTTGGCGAGTTTGATGTCCAAGAGCATCTAGTCGTCCTCCTAGTTCCTGTAGTCGTCTGGCTTGGAGAGTTTGATCACGTTGGATATCGTTGAGCTGTAGGTGAAGATCGCGGATGGAACCTTTGTGTCGGCTGATGTCGTTGGAGGTGGAGGCTCTTGATGAGTCCGCCCTGTACGCCGCTCGTTTGACGTCCAGGAGTTCTTCTAATACTGATTGGCTGCAGGTGCGCTCGTAGACGAAAGCGAGCTCTTGTTCCAGCTGGAAGACGGTCTGGTCGAGGGTCCGGATCTTCTCTGCTTGCGAGGATACTGTGTCTATGAGGAGCTTCACCGCGTCGTCCGTGGTCTGGTGGGTTGGATCGTTGGGGTTGGCGATCTCATCTGGGATCTCGGAGGCTGTCTGCATTGTCTCCGGTTGGTTATTGGGATGTTGCTGGCTTGCTGGCTGAGGATCCGGAATGGTCTGCTCCTCGTGCATCTTGTTGGTCGGCATGGTGAAGAATTGGATGATCGACTTGTTGGTCTATCAGCCGGGCAACTTCTTCTATGCTACGTCTGTCACTGCGTCAGCCACTGAAGAGAAGCGCTCTGGGTGGGTGCGGGAAAGGGTAGGGGCGGACTTCACATGATTGCATGATGTGCATGATCAAAATCACACTTCACTGCGGGACACGGGGCTTGGGGAGGAAAGGTTTGGGGACCTCAACGACTGCAATCCGTCACTGCGCATCATGGGCACTTGCTGGCGGTCTTTGATATTGATTTTGCTGTGGTACTTCGAGTCATCTATGCACAAACGTCAGCATGTCTGGGTCGTGGGCTTGGTAGAGGGCGCGAAGTTCTCGGAGTTGTTGTAGACGAACCGGCTCGGGGTACGCTATCTTTGAGATCATGTGGCGTCTCGTTCGGTATGCACTGGCACGGTGGACCATAGGTGTGGATCCCCGTGGCGAAAGGAGCTGGTGTGTCTGTGAGGGGAGAATGAGGCGAACTTCTTTGCGGTGTAGGTTGATGTTGCATCCGAGGTAGTTGGCTTCTTCTTGTTCTTCCAACGCCCAACTTTGTGGCAGGATGCAAATGCGGTCGTCAACATATCTCTTGGCGAAGCGGTCGAGAATTGCGCATGATGCCAAGGCTATGCGATATGTCTCATGCCATTGATGTTCTTCGACACAACAGACCATGTGGCACAACACCGGTGACATTGGGTGTCCCATTGGGCTACCTCTGGTCTGCTTGTATACTTGTTGTTGGGAGGTGAAGTAGCTGCACTTCAGGACGTACTGAGTGATCTCCCAGATGTCGTGCATGTAGATGGTGCGTCGACCATGGTTGATCTGCTTGTACTTCCCATTGAACGTTCTGGCCGTCCTAAGCGTCTTTTTGGGGTCGTAGGTGATGGAGACGTCCTGCCATGTGTCAAAGCCGTGCTGGGAGTTGGCGAAGTACTTGTGCATGGTGATCATGAGGGCTTGGAGGATACGTTCCTGTGGGACACTGGTGAAGAAGCCCGCGAGGTCCGCGATCTGCATGTGCATGTCCGCGTTGTTGTAGTTCATGAAGGTGTGAAGTTCCTTGAAGATCTTGTAGGAGTTGTCCTGTTGCAGCGCTTGGGGGAAAGAGATGTACATGATGTTGGTGATGATCTTGGCGACCGTGGAGAAGAGCTTCTTGGCGAAGTGCTGGGCGAACGAGACAATGGGCCGTGACTTGATGAAGCCCTTCTTGCGCTTGGGGAAGATGTAGGACACCGGGACTTTGTCCTTGCGGTTTGGGTTGATGCCCCAGGCGTATCTTGTCTTGATGTTTTGGGGAAGTTGGTGCCACGCGTTGTGCGCCGCTGTGGTCGGGGTGATGTTGATCTTGGTGAAGACTTCAGGGTCGCCGTACATCTTGTCCATGAGCTGTTGGAAGTGGAGGGGGCAGTACGCTAGCATCTTGTGGGGATGGTGGTCCTCGCACGCGATGATGTAGTCGCTGTACTGGGTTTTGAGGCTTTTGACCATGTGGTGGTTCACGTGTTCCTCCTTCACGTTGTGGCTGAGCTGTGCCGCCGGGGCAAGGGCGAGCTGCACGGCCTCCCTGGATGGGATGGAGAGTCCATTGCGTCTGCACCATTTTCGAACATCTTCCGTCGTCTGCGAAATCCAAGTATCTGGTTCCGGGAAAGTGCCCGTCTTGGACGAGTAGGTGACGATGTGGTATAGAGGGTCTTCTGGTGATGCGTGTGCGGTCTGAAGGTCGATGACTTGATGTTCACTGAGTTCCTGTGTGGGGTTGGGGCAAGTGCATCTTCTCGTAAGTTTTGGTCCAAAACACATTCGCTGCCAGTTGTGGCACTGGGCCTCGATGCTGGATCCTGGTTTGGCTACCACCGTGGTCTTCGGAACATGTAGTGGGCATAGTTCGTGGTAGTGGCTCGCGATGATGGCGCGTAGAACTTCTCGGAGATGGCGTTGGCATTCTTCCATAGGTGGCAGCAAACTGGTGACGAGGGGTCTTATGTTAGGGGTCTCCATATGTCTCTTGTCCAGTGCCTTGACCAATGCTGCCTTGCAGAACTCCTTGTATGGGGATTCAAGGATGTTGGTCATTCGTAGTAGCGTGTATATGTTCTCGGCCGGGAAGTTGCTGCTCATCAACGTTCTGGTGGTTTTCCATCGCAGAGCCGTGGTGGAGCACAGGGCGGTGAGGAGGCCCCACATGCGCGTTTTGGTGTCTATCTGTACCTTGACGGCTCGCCAAGGTCTAGTTTTCCTGCCTAGGTGTCGATGTAGTCGGGCACGTAGTTTGGTTGCCAGCACGTTGACGTCGCAAATGATCTTGGGTTGGAAGGTGTGGCCTGTGTCTTCTTTGAAGTGTTTGTAGATGAAGGGGGCGTTGAGGGAGGGTTGGAGGTCCGCGATGTCTGCCTGCTCAATCATGTGCAACTCTGCCACATCGTCAACGCTGCGGACTTTGATCGGAACGAACTCCCAATATGTGTTGGTGGTGTGCCAGTAGTGTATGGCTGGTTCTGCGTTGACCAGTTTTTGAGCGGCGAGTGCGTTGTGTTTTCTGCGTCGGTTGTCTTCTCTGACTGTGACTTTCGTGGAGGTGCTGCCAATATAGAGGTGCTCAAACATGCGTCCGTGGTCGACTCTCCAGTACACTGCGTTCGGCTGATTGAAAAATTCGAATGTGTAGAGCTCCGGGGTGATACGGTGAAACTGCTTGAGGCGTACCAGTCTGCGTCGATCTACTTGGCGTCGAGGAAAATGGCAAAGAGCGGTGAGCCAAAACTTGCCGTAGAGCCAAGTGGAGTATCTGTGTAAGAAAGGTATGCGGTGAAATGTGTATTGGACCACGCTCTTCGCGATGTCCATGCACTTCACCATGGAAGAGTGTATGCGGTTGAGTCGTCTGGAGGGTTGCTGCGTTGTGAGTAGGGTACCTAGTCAATGTAGGTATGAAGCGAGGCCTGCCACCACAATAGCGACTGCTGCCGTCCCTGCTGTGTTGGTGAGCTTGGGAAGAGACCAGGCCTTCACCATGTCCTGGTATGCCTGATCTTTTGGATGCGCCTCCGCATACACCGTGAGTCTCTTGGCAATTTCTTTCTGGGCCTGTAGTTTAGGTCCAGACATCTTGAGGGTGGAGATCCAGGTGGTTGCTGACGGGGCCGCGTATCTTGATAGCGAGCTGGTGAGTTCATGTACTTGTCGGATCTTGTCCATTTTGGCCTTGTCACCTGGTTCTCGCTTCGGAGCTATGCCGCTAAGATACTGGATGAGTTCTTCGTCGTCGAATGCGTTGACGATGTCGAGGAGGACTTTGTTTTGTCTGCCGCCTGGTGATTCGAACGGGCGGCTGGATGCTGGTTCACCTGTAACCGGAGATCTTGGGCTGGGGTGGTAGGAGGGTGTGGTGATGCCTCCAATGAGGTTGGGGTCCAACTCGTCTTCCACGGTAGGCGGGTGGGGGTGAAGTGGGGGAGGGGGTTGAGGTGCTTGTTCGGCTGCTTCGGATGCTATCGGTTGCGATACTTGGGCGTCGTCGGCGTCGATAACCTGCACAAGGTCGTGGGTGTTGTCCTGAGCGCACGGATCTCGGTGTGGATGTGGTTGTTTACCGGATGATGGTGAAGTCTTGCTGGTGCCTGTTTCGAAGAAGTTGGGCATCTGGGTTTGGGTAGGTGGGATGATGCCCTGCGGGAAGGGTGTCTTGCGGCTCTGACTTGCCAGCTGTGCGCGCAATCCTGCTATCTCCGCTTCTTTCTGTGCTAGTTGGGCACGTACTTGGGGTTGTACAGCGGGGGGATTGTTGTAGCGCATGAGGAGGTCTCCAATGTTGGCGACGAGCATCTCCATGGCTTCCTTCCGTTGGGCTTCAGAGGGCAGCATTTCAGTACCGTTCTTCCACTTCCAATAGTTGACTGCGATGGTCTCGATGCGAATGTTGCGGTTGCGGATGAAGGTGGAGAGTTTCATGTGAAACACGGCATCGGGTAGTGACTTGTGGCCTTGGAACTGAGTCCATCTTCCGTTGGCGAGTTGTCGCAACATATAATTGTGCTTGCCCTCGAAGGCCACTTGCCAGAGTTTTATGTCGAAAGGATCCATACCTGCCGTGCCATTTTTCTTGGCCGATGACGTGGCAGGTACGATTCTGGGCATCTGGACTCCTCCATACTGGTTTTTGTCGTAGAGCAGCTCGGTGGAATCCCAATGGTCTGGGAGGTCATTGTTGGGCTGGTGGAAGATGTCCTGGAGCACTTCCTTGGCGCGTTCTTTGGGGTTAGGGCGGGCTGGGGTAGGGGCCGAAGATTGAGTAGATTGGATGGGAGAGTTCCCGTATATCGGGAGTCGCTGATCGTGACGGTGGCGATCTCGTCGTGGGTTGTACACCGAATCTTGTCCGTGATGAAGAGGCGTGTGGGACGTTGTGAATGTGGATCTGGGGGTCAAAGTTGGTCCCGAGCTAGGACGTGGGTTGGAGTGGAATGTGCGCGTGGATCTCGGTGATGCCGACCTAGTGCGATGCCTCCTAGATGGTCTTGGCGTGCTGAATCTTCTGGGTGATCTGGATCGTCTGGAACGATTGCCTCGTCTGTGTGAGTCTGCATGCCATTGAGCATGTCGTTGATCGTGGCGATCACGTCTGTCTGCCATGGCGTGGGGGTCTGGGGATGCTGATATGTTCAGCTGTTAGTGAAGAAGCCTACGTGAGGCACGCAACGGCTGTGTCAGGCGCAAGAAACACTACACTTGCAGAGGCAGCGTGTTCCGAAAATTGCATGCAGGATGTGAGGTGCATATGGCTGCAACTTCTCTCAACGGGTGCATGTGGCTGAGCTCGTTCCATCGTGAAACTGTCGTTGCTGGGACTTCATCACTTCACATACTTCCATTGATGTTGGCCTGCTTCTTGGTCAACGGTGGTGCGTCGTTGAAGTTCTAGTAGAGCTTGTCGTTGGTTGATGAAGTCCGTCCATTCCTCCTGGGTTGGCGTGGCCTGCGCTTGATTCTGCTTGATGTCTGGATCCTCTTGGAAGGCTGTAGGTGTTCCCGATACCGCCAGCCACGTGGTTTGATGTACATGTAGAGCTTGGTGACGTTGGATTTGGCCTGATATCTTCGGGTGGGTCCAAAAGACCGAGTGCGTCCTGGGGTGTCCGATGACTGCAAGGGGTAGAGACAGCCATCTGAACGAGGAACTGGATGCCGTAGTGGTTTGGAACCAGGCCCAGTCCAACTGTGTCTCCATCACGCTGCTGGCCGGGATTGCTAACATTGGCGTTTGTCCTCCTGGACTCAGTCGGTGAAATTTGCCAATCAAATCAGGCCGGCTTGTCCGCTTGGCGTCGAAACCGTCGATGGTGTGGCAAGGGTCCGCAAAGGTGAAGATGAGTGGGTCCCAAAGTCGATGTAGTACATGTGCTGCTTGGGTGGAGACTTGAACTGCGTGGATCTGTTGTGAGGTGAGGGGTAAGGCGAATCTCGGTGTCCATACCATGGTGGGCAGTGTGTCGCTGTGGAGGTGGTCGATGGTGAGTTTGGTGCGGATGTCGGGAGTGGAGGGTGGCGTCCATCTGGTCGTGTGGGTGAGCTTCTGAAGCGTGTCGGTCCATATGTTGGTTGACCAGTGGTCCGGAATTTGGAACGTGTTGGTTCCCTGAAGGCATTCTGTGTGGGAATCGATGCTGGGCCATGTTCTGTGGAGCTGTAGGTCATGGTGAGCCTTGCGGAAGACTATGTTGCTGACCGCCTGCATGGTCATGATGCCCGAGATGGTGTTGTACTTCGCAAGCATCGGCTGGTGGAAGGGTGGCGTAGTACTATGGAGCACCACGCAGAGGTCTTGTATGGGCGGAAGCAGGGGTACCAATCCTGCCGTGCTGGGTAGGACGTGTGCTGACCAGACTCTGTGGAAGTGAGTGCAGGTCTGCTCCAGCCTGCCCATAGTTCTGGGATCTGCGAAGTTGTGTGTGAACATCCAGAGTTCCGGGTTCACACTTCGGAATTTGATGTAGCCCCAGTGCCAGAGCTGATAGATGTTGGGCATTGTGGCCAAATCTGGGCAAGTGCCTTTGCGTACGAGCATCCTAAACTGTATGGCTGTGAACTGTAGGATGTGAACTGCAGCGGTTCCTGATAGAATTTCGTGTAGGAGGGCACGTAGTCGTAGGTGTAGGGGCTTGGGTTGGGGAATGTCGACGGAGTCGGCGTAGCGTGCCATCTGGACGTGGGTGGATGCGTCGTCCTTGTATTGGTCCCAGGTCATGAGGATGCTGTTTTGAAGTTCTTGTTGGAGTGAGGGGAACTTGTGCACCAGCTGCTTCGGGAGGAAGGTCATGCGGTTGGGGAAGAATCGAATGACCGTCCTCTTGGAGTTCCCAATGGTGTGGTTCAACCGGAGGTAGCATGTGAACAAGTTCCGGTCGAATCGGTCGTCTCCACCACTGCGGCTGCACTTTCTCTATCTGATCCACTGGTAGAACTGGGCGTAGCCGGCCTTGGTCGTGATGTTGTGTGACGGATTGCGCGTCCACAGCTGGTTCAAGGCTGTCGAGCAGTTGTTGCAAGCTGCTGACGTGCATGCCCATCGTGTGGACACCAGGGTTTCGAAGTGGCGACCTGGATCTGTCTTCTCTGTGATGCCGTTCTTCGGGAGGAGGTACTGTGCGGTCGGGAGGTACGGGAATGTGTGGGAAGGCTCCAGTGTGCCAGGTTTGTAGGTCTCTGACAGGTTGGTCCGTGCCCGCATAATCCATGGACATGCCGGTGGCGTGGTCCTGGGGTGGTGTTTGTCGATTCGGATACCATCTCTGGAATTGGTTCGCATGGTCTTGTGAGGAGGTTGGAGGGGGAAGGGTATGGGGCATGGTACCGTGGTTTTCCGCGGAGGCAAGAACTCGACCGGGTTTGATTTCCATGTCTTGTAGTCGTCCTTGGCCGATTATCTCGGGGTAGTCGGTCTGCACCGCTCGCAATCTGGATTGGTGCAGTATCTTGGCCTTCATGGTTTGCTGTCGAAATCTGTTGACGGTGTTGCTGATGCCCTCGTCAGTGGTGCTGAGCATCTCCATGTACTTGGATGGGTGCAAGTTGGTCGTCCATGGTCTGGCTGGCATCGACGACGTGTCCGTGATGATGGGGGTGTCATCCTCCTCCACGATACTCACCAAGAGTGCTTGCCATCTTTGTAGTATTTGGGGTCCTAGTACTTGCACAACCTGATGATCGGCGACTTGTCCGCTTAGCCAGCGGTGAAGGGCGTGCTCCATATCTTCTGCCGGATCCATGATGAAAGTGAGCGTCTAATGATCCGTTATGGTCAAGAGCAAAACTGCATGCGAAATGCAATCAGCACTAACGACACCTAAAGGCGGCCAGAGCATGTCTCTCAAGGTCAAGGTCTAACGCATCACAGCAGTGCACGAATTCACTTGACGCGTGATTTCATGTGCCGAAAAGAAAAGACAGGCTGATTCATCTGTGACGCTGTACTACATGCATCCGATTGCAATCCGTAACTGGCGCACACATTGGGCTAAATGCATAGACCTCGGTGTAGATATTTCAAACAGTTCGGAACTGCAGAGTGATGTGTGGTGGGGTGGGGGTGCACTTCATCCAATCTGCGACCTGTTCCGCTTGATGCCTTCCATTTTGACATGCTGTGATTAACGCGCTGGTGCCGCACGAGTGAGGGTTCGTGAAGGTGAAAAAGAAATCGTCACTTTGCTCTTCACGATGAGGAAGAAGGATTCGCCAGCTCAGGTAGTTGTCAACGTCGTTGTCCGCGGTCATTGTCTCGGGATCTGTTGGGAACTGGAGGTGGTGTGGTGGGTGAGGGTCTAGGGTGGAAGACGTTGATGGTGATCCCGGTGATCTCAGCGTATTGTGCATCAATGACGCTCTTCTCGGTGTGGGAGAAGACGGTAGTGAAGTTGCGACTGGCCCGGCTGGTGTCGTTGAAGTGTGCCTCGATGAGCGCCTTCTGAGTCGTCCATCCTCCTCCCTTCTGCCGCATGTGGCTATGCTGGGAGGTGGACGATGTGACGCGTCCAAATATGGTGAAACCTGTGGCTATTTCTCGTTCGGCAGGACCTGCTCTGGCTTTTGGAAGGCGGAGGGCTTTGCGGAGGTTGGTGTGGCAAAATCCGAGTTGGAGGTTGTCGGGTGCGTTGTCTTGGTGGAATCCGTTGAACCCACGGTGGGGTAGGTATGCTTTGTTGTAGGGGAGGTTGTCGTCATCCCAATTGGTGGGCTCCCAATTCGTGGGTCTGACGAAGCCCTCGCGCAGGATGTGCCATAGGCCTGCTTCATCGGTAGCGTGTGACCAATATGCCTTGTAGGCGCCCTTGTGCGTGGGAGGTGATGGACTGTTGGCATCGTGTGCGTGAGGTGGAGGCTTGGTGGTGCGTAGTGGTATGACGAGGACCTGTACCAGTGGGTAGTCGGTGGTGTCCTGTTTGTTGCTGTAGGGGTCGACGTGGATGAGCTCCGGGTGGATCACCGTGTCCGTGCTGGGGTGAGTTCTGAACTGGCCGAGGAAGGGCGTGATCTTGTAGTGAGAGCAAGCGAAGGATCTTGCCACTTGGCGGATGGCCATCTGTGCTGGGTTGGAGAGCCAAAGGGGCTGTCCTTGGGTGAGGTTGGCGATGTCGTGCATGATGTCGTTCATGTACCGGACGCCTGTGCTGGAAGGGTCCATGGGCGGTGGTGGGTCTTGTTGGTGGTACATCTCGGACACACACGCGAGCCTGTAGGGGTCCGCCAAGGCGTCTTGGTAGAGCATCTTCATGCGTCGACGTTCTTCAGGTTTGAAGCCTGATTCGGTTTCTGGTCCTGCATTGTGTGAAGTGGCTTCTGAGGGTGCTTGGGGTGGTCGGGATGAGGAAGCAGGTGTGTCTCTGTGGGTCGCCGTGTGTGAAGCAGATCGGTGGAGCGCGGGGGTGAGAACGACGGTCGTGCCTCTGCGCCTGGTGCTGCTTGGGGAGGGGCTGCGTTGGGATGGTGTTGGTTGGGATGTCCGGTGATGATGAACCGGAGAAGAGCGCCTTCTCGATGTTCGCGATTCGGCTTCTTCCGAGTGTCGACGTGTGGATCTGGATCTTCTTGGACTGCGTGGCCGTCTGGTTCTGTCTGTCTGGTGGGGGTCGTTGGGTGCGGGGCTGTGGGGTGAATGGGAGATGTGCGTGTGTCGCGTAGATCTGGTGCTCCTGGGGTGGGCTGGGCTGGGCTCATAGGTGGTTCGGCTGCGACTTCGGGTGTGGTGTGTGGTAAAGGACTCTGCTCTGTGTTGGTCGCCAGGATGTTGTAGTTGCGTTGGGGCGACTCTGGCATGGGACTGGAGTAGCGGTGCCACGACTTTCTCAATCATGCCTGTGATGCACGTGAACATCTCCGTCATCTGGGATGGTGTCGTCATCGACGTGGTTTGAGAGGGTGGTTCTGGGGCTTGACGAGGTTGTTGATGTTCTCCGTGATGAACAGGTTGGCCTCTTTGATGGTCATCTTGTTGTGTGTCCGAAATCTGGGTGGGCATAGATCGCTGAAGTGCCGGAAATGGTCTGGACTGTGACAAAGGCTCCTGTCGTGCTGCGTCTCGCTGCGGATCTCGGTGAGCATATACTTGAGTGGGGTCTTGCTGAGATCTGCGTCCTTGGTCTGGGTGTTGTGTGTCAACTGGAGCATCTTGTTGACGTGGCTGGCCGTGTTCTGCTGGATCTCGATGTGCACAGGCGCCAGGGGTATTTAGTAGGGAGATGGGGTAAGGTCCTTCTCGAACTGGAGGATGGGGCTCTGCTTGCGCGAACACGGGATGATCTGCTCGTTGTGGAACATTCATTTGTTGCTGAAGATGGTGTGCTGGCCGAGGTGTGGCTTGATTCCATTCTGGTCGACCCTGAGGAGGGCTTTGTTGTTGATGGTGGTGCGCAAGGTCTCGAGGATGGTGGTCTGGTCGTATATCTTGGCCTTGATGATATTGCTGACCATGCTGAAGATACGGAGGTGGGTCCGGATTCTGCCAATGACTTGCGGCCTGGGGGTAGGAGTGAGGTTGTGGATGTAGAGGTGTTGGGCGTACTTCCGGGTGATCGCTGCGACCATGTTGTTGAGGACTGGCATGTTGGTGGTGAAGATGGATGTTCTGGTTGGTCGTCGGTGAATGTGGGCCCGTCGTTTGACTCGAAGGTGCGTATCCTGCTGCATCATCACGACGATGCGTCGGAGGGCCGAACTGCATTTGATCCAAAAACGCGGCTGGTGCTATCCATTGTGGCCGTAGGGATGCTGCATCCTGGTAGGGTGGCCACTGGTATTGAGCGTGTACTCCTCCGGCTGGTGGGTGTTGATTCCATCGACCTTGCCATCCTTGATCGTCTCCTGGGTAATGTGCCGTCGGGTGTGGCGTCTCGGGAGGAGGAGGAGGAGGATGTGCTTGATAGTCTGGTGGAGGAGGAGGAGGAGGCGGCTGCCGCTGCCAACTTTGTTGGTACCACTGGTAGCCGTCCATGGTGCGAGTCCGATGTAGCTGGGGTACGAGCTACTCACTACTCTGACCTATGAAACCATTACGGCAAAGATGTAGCAAAAAGAATGTTGCTAACCTCTCCGGATGCTGGGTCAGGACTAACAATCGAGGAACATACGGCACGCCGGCCGTCTTGCTGGGCATCGGTGGCACCCACATTAGTGGGCCCGGCATGTTACTAGTGCACGAAAACAATAGGACTTTGCATTCTCACTCGCCAGGTGAGCTCACATTTTTGGATTATCCTATGCGTCCGCACCGAAGTGAAGACTAACATAGGCAGCATGAACGCGTAGGAGCGAGGCTCCACCTACACCCGCGGCCCAAGGCGAGGGCGGGCTGGCTGTATAACACACTTTTTGTTTTAGTGTTCCACATATTCATGTAGTTGGAGATCTGCTGGAGAAGGACATGCTCAATCAAGAGGTAGTGGATGAGCTCGTGAGTGATGAGGTAGAAGGGTCGCGAATGGATGTTTATATGACATATCATATAGGGTTTAGGGTCTTCTGCAAACTGTGCTCATCACGCTCCGATGCTCTACAATTCACACTCTGATGCTCCGCAGTTTATGCTCACCCAATTCTGCTCATCACGCTCAGATGCTCTGCAAGTCATGCTCCGATGCTCCACAACTCATGCTCACACAAGCTTGCTCACCACGTTCAGAAGCTCTACAATTCATGCTCTGATGCCCCACAAGTTGATGCTCGCACAATTCTGCTCATCACGCTCAGATGCTCTGCAAGTCATGCTCTGATGCTACACACTTCATGCTCCCGCAACTCTGCTCATCGCGCTCCGATGCTCCACAGTGCATGCTCATATGCTCTAACACTCATGTTCCGAACCTTCTCCATGCTCTCGTCCATGTTCATGCTCGTTCGCTGGACATGCTCCGACAACATGCTCAGAAGACATGCTCATGCATCACATTCCACTCAAGCTTGATGGGCTCGAGGTCTTCTGGGGTTTGGGGTATGTCATGCTCACGGCACCAAGAATTCACCCATGCTCAAATACCAAATGTCCAAAATGAAAATCTCGTTCTTGAAGGACTGGTTGAAGCAACAGCGATGATGCACCATGCACAGCTTGCGTTACAGGATGTCTAAGACAATCACGCAGGTACACAGTTGGACGTCTCCAACTGCTTCACCACGAACCATGGGCGTCTTTGTTAGCAGGAGACCCATGGCCGTGCTCCTGCCCCCTGCTGAATATCATGTGCAAAAACTTGTTAGATCGCAAATTCGTGCTTCTTTTCGCTCTCGTATGCAGTGCTTGTTGACGTTCCCGCATGTACAGCGGTGTGCCACACACACACACACACACACACACACACACACCCATGCACGCACGCACGCACGCACCCACCCACGAATGCACGCACCCACCCACGCACCCACCCACGCACCCACGCACCCACCCACGGATAGGCAGGTCACTTGTGACTTCTGTCGGGTGTCACTTGTGACTTCTCGAGAGGCGACTCGCTTGTGACTTCTCTCGGGTGTCACCTGTGACTTCTCTAGCCAGCAACACCTCTCAGCAAAAATGCATGAGGAACCTCCATCAACCGGCACATCCAGCGTTTTATTCCCAATTTCTTTTCCAGGAATAACCTCCTGACTGCCAGACGCTCCATCCACCAACTCTTCCGCAGCTGAAACACCACTCCCTTCCACATTGGGAATCATCTTGTCCGGACTCACAGGTTTTACCGCTGCGTCACCCTCAGAAAGCGCTTTGCCCTTTTCCTGATCCAGGTGCTCTCCAGCCATATTCATCTGCAATCCGAGAACCCGAGGTCCCAGGAGCTTCACCACCCCTTAGACCGCTATCCCCAACGATAGAGGAAAATTCCCTTTCTACAGCACTATTTACACTACCCTGAGAAGCAGACTCAGATGAGGACCTCCGCGTCATAGAACCCAGTGCATTGGGACAGAAACCTTGTTCTTCCCTTTTTCTTTTGCCGAAACAGTATCCTTCTCATCCGCTGTCACCTTTTCAGCAGTGTGCTCGAACCCTTCCGGGCATTCCCACTGAGTCCTCCCAGTGACGATGTCGTAGTAGTAAGTCCGACCCATCGAAAAATGCATCTCCCAGACGGCGTCAATCTTAGGCGCCTCTCTGGCTGAAGCGCTCGACGAAGGCTAAGGTCTGCAAGTAGCTAGTGCCGAAGATCCAGGTCTGCAAGCCGCTGTCAACCTGCATCTCTCCCAAACCTTGGTTGAAGCGCTCGCCGAAGGTCAAGGTCGGCAAGTCACTACTGTCGGAGGCCAAGGGCTGCGAGCCAATGTCAATCTGCACCTCTTCCAAACTCTGGTTGAATTGCTCGCCGAAGGTCAAGGTCTACAAGCCGTTGTCAACCTGCACCTTTTCCGAACTCCGGTTGAAGCGCTCGCCGAATGTCAAGGTCTGCTGGTCGCTACTGCCGACGCACCTCTTCCAAACTCTGGTTGAAGTGCTCGCCGAAGGTCAAGGTCTACAAGCCGCTGTCAATCTGCATCTCTTTTAACTGTGGTTGAAGGCCTACAAGTCGCTGCTGCTGAAGGTCAAGGTCTACAAGTAGCTGTCAATCTGCATCTCTTCTAGTGCACTAGCTCTCCCTCAGTCTTCGGGCACCTCGTGCTACCTCTCCCCGCTAGCACTCGGACCACTTCTTTTTCCTTCGGAGGTGGACTGATCCCACATCTTAGCTCGGAGGCCGATCCACCTTCGGTGGGTCGGGTCCCCCCAGGGTGGGTTGGGTGGGCACTTTGAAATTGCCCCCCCAAATCTTTTGGGGTCTCTTTAGCCAAAACGGCCACATCATATCTACATGTGGACTCTACTTAGCCCTCTCGGCGCCTCCGCACCTCGGGGCGACCCCACAATTTCAAAGGTAGCTCAGTTACAATCCTGAGCCTTCTTCCTGTTGGCTTCTTAGCCCATCTCTCAGAACCCCTTCGGTGGGCTTTAGCCTCAACAGACCTCTCTAAAAACACCTTCGATGTTTTTAGCCTATTTCTAGGAATCGAGCTAGCACACACGGTCGTAAACTGCACGCTGTTCACGAGTGCGTGCACTAGCTCTCCCTCTAGTCTTCGGGCACCTCGCGCTACCTCTCCCCGCTAGCACTCGGACCACTTCTTTTTCCTTCGGAGGTGGACTGATCCCACATCTTAGCTCGGAGGCCGATCCACCTTCGGTGGGTCGGGTCCCCCCCGCGTAGCCCTTCGAGCTACCAGGGATCTAGCTTTCGGGTCCTCTTTGCGAAGCGCCCCGGCTTCGACCCTTTCGCTCGCTTGCTAAGTCCGAGCCCTTCGTAGTAGCTCTTAGCATGCACGAGCAGCTTGTCCAAAACTCTCCAGTCTAGCTTTTCCCCCGAAAGCTCTATTCGAAACTTGGGGTCGAAGCTAGCGAAGTTCTCATTTGTCAAGTCGTCCGCTAGCTGGTTAAGGTCCCTTCTGATCCACTGTAGCTGGAGCTCACAGTTCTTGGCCGCCAGCTCCTCGGCTAGCTCCATGAGGACCAAAATCGAAGGGAACTTCGTCGTCATCAGCTTTCGCAGAACGGCCTCATTCGACTTGTTGTCTGTGTAGCCCCGTATCGCTTCCCTCGAGGATTTCCTCTCCTCACTGCACGGGACCCATAGCTTGACCAGGGTCGCCAGGAGCTCCAAGGCGGCGATCACCTTGTTCGGATCCTTCTTAGCAAACGCCCACGGTGCCCAGGCCTCAGTGACTTCCAGCGAGAACCAGGGCCCCGTGCAGCCCGGCACTAGCTCTAGGAAGCCTCCTATCCAAGCTACTCGGCTTTAGCGTCCGTGAAGAAGGACAGGACATTGGAATCGTAGCTCATGGATTCTGGAGCCTGGAGTCTCTCTCCTCCCCCAAGCTTCCCCGCTAGCCATTCCATGAGGATTCGTAGCATAGTGGGCAGCGTGAGAAGCCCCGGCTTCCCCTGGATGGCAGCGGACCAGGCATGGAGAGGCCCCAAGAACGGTCTCTCCCAGTCCAGTGCAGTAGCGGCAAACCCCAGCCGGCCTAGCCCTTGGGACATCTCCTTCGCACTCACCTTTCCGGCGGCCACCTTTTCTCGTAGCCATCCCACTAGCCAGTCGGCCCTTTTCTTCGATAGGCCCAGTTTGTAGCCCACATAGTCCGTCTCCATGCCAGCCACTCCACGCGGAAGCCACCTCGCGTCTTGGCCCACTTGAAGGGGAAGCCCATGGCCCCCAGCAGCAAGTAGCACATGGGGATGCCCTGTCTCCCTCTGGCGTCCAGGCCTAGCACTTCTAAGTCGTCGGCATACAGGAGGAGCTCCAGGCGGTAGCCCTTTACCAGGCGGATCCCACACGCAGCGATCCTGGTCCACCAGTAGCTCGCAGGCGATAGCCCGAAGGTCCCCACCTTGTTGACGTAGACCGGACGGTCCTCACTCTGCGCTAGCCCCGTCTCCTCCTCCACTTGGGCAGGCCATGAATCCGTGCTCGGTAGCTTGGTGTTTGTAGCGGCGATGCGCCTTCGAAATGTCGCCCACCACCAAAAAAGGCCGACTTTCGCTTAGCACGTAGCCCCCGGAGGATGATCTTCTTAGCTCCTTTTCGGATCCGCATCGTCGGAGAACTGCTGAACGTAGCTCCTCACGTAGCTGGTCCCAGTGTTCTCCCGCGGCATAGCTTCGCTTCTCCAGGGGCCACCTGCCTGGAGAACAGAGGCCCCCCCCGTCGTGGAAGGGCTTGAGGCGGCCCTGTACATAGCAGTGCCTGGGCTCGTCCTCTCGCCTTGTAGCCGCGCGGAGCATTCAGCGGATAGGGCGGCGTCTCCGGGGGCGTAGCTCTGCTGCGACACCCCTCCCTGCTGCGGCTCAGTCCCCCTTCCGAAAGGAGTCGTAGCACCTGAGTCCAGCAGGGTGCCCATCAGAAGGTGCGCCAGCCACTGGCACATACGCGGCGGCCAGGCCTGCGTCCCCGCAGTGGCGTCGTGACGCAATTTTGCCTCGCAGTTTTGAAGCCTGCGGCCGGGGCAGGGGCAGCGGTCCCTGGTAGTAGCCGGCGTCATCGAACTGCGGCGGCTGCTCGGCAGAGCCCAACTGCTGCGGGCGTTGGGCAGCTGGATCCCCTCCAAGCTCTGGTTAAAACAAAGGCCAGAGCGTCAATGTCTGCAGGTTGCTGGGCAGCGGGATCCCCGCCAAGCTCTAATAAACTCAAGCCGCAAAACGTAAAGAACATTTCCCAAGGAGGAGGAACGAACAGAGACAAGAGGGGAGAAAAGGGAGAGGAGGGGGAGAAAAGGAACAACCAGGGCGAGAAGGGAGGGGCGGCAGAAGGGAGGCGAGGAAAACTGAAAAAGACAACGGGAGAGGAAAACCGAAGCGTATTGTACACTACTATCACTAACAAAGCATTATAGCAGCGAAGAAAAACAAAAGAAAAAGTTGCTGATCTCTCCGGTGGCTTGTAGGCGATTGACATATCTAGGGACATTGGTCTTAACAGACCTTCACTTAGCATCGGCGGCGTTCGCATGTAGTGAAGCCTTCATGTTACTAGGGCGAAAATGGATCAAGCACTTTTGATTGTCACACGCCAGGCGACTTCCAGTTTTGAGATTCTCTACGCTCCTCACCAGGCGAGGACTAGCGTAGGATGTCATTCATGTGTAGGAGCAACGCTCCGCCTACACCCGCTGCCCGTGGCAAGGGCGGGCTGGCTGTATACCACACTGACTGTTTTAGTGTTCCACATGTACTGGTGGGTGATGATGCTCCGGAGAAGGGCATGCTCGATCAGGAAGGTGAAGACAAACGCCGTGATCATGGAGTAGAGGGTGACGAATGGTGTGTTATATGAGCGACCACATCATGCTAATGCTCAAGGTCTTCATGTCGTGTTCACATGTCAAAGAATTCAAGAATCATGCTCAACGGCCAAATTGTCAAATACCAAGCCCAAAGCTGCCATGTTGCGATTGATTCGGAATGTTCACGTGCCGTGCTCCAAAAAGACCATGCTCCATAAATGTCTTGTTCCAAAGGTCATGCTCCACAATCGCCCCACACTTGAAACTGCTGCAAACCTGAAAAACCTGCAAAAGATCTCATCTGGAATGCCACAGGGGCCCATTCCATTTTGCTGATCTGTCCCGCCACAAGGGGCCCGGGACTTTTTGCAGGTACGTTGCAAAGCTCTGTGGGAATGTCTTCGTTGGCAGGAGATTGTCATGGAGCGCTCCTGCCCCCTGCTTTGTTTTGACCACAATATCGGTGCCTGCTTTGCTTTGATCACAAAATCGGCGCTTGCTCTCGAACCCGCATGTACAGTGGTGTGACACACGCACACCCACACACACACATACAAACACACACACACACACACACACACACACACACACAAACACACACACACACACAGACACAAACACACAAACAAACACACACACACACACACACACACACACACACACACACACACACCACACACACACACACACACACACACACACACACACACACACACACACACACACACACACACACACACACACACACACAAACACAACACACACACACACAAACACAAACACAAACACAAACACAAACACAAACACAAACACAAACACAAACACAAACATGAGCACAAACACAAACACAAACACAAACACAAATATAAACACGCAAACACACACAAACACACACAAACACACACAAACACACACAAACACACACACACACACACACACACACACACACACACACACACACACACACACATACATATATCAGACCCTGACACCGGACTCCGACACAGGGCCAGAACCCTTTTGAGCATGGCTTTTGAGCACTTCATCGTTAGAAACGAGCTGAAGCCCCTGGCGCACGAAGTGGGGCTCCGTCAAGTCAACGATATCCATCAGTGAGGCGAGCTGATCCTGCGCAACTGCAGCAACCAGTTGGCAACCAACCTCGGGACCGCGACAGTCGCGGCGCCTTGAACTCCGAGGACACCTGCAACAAGGCACGACACTGGTACTATGCCATGCACGAGACCGCAGCTTAAGCAGCAAAGGCATTGCAAGCAGGAGGCCGTGTACTTCTTCTTCTTCTTGCCCGCCCCAGTGTCTGAAGACTCGTCCTGAGGTTTGCGGGCTTCGATGTGGAGACTGCAAGCTGAGTCAAACAGCGAGCAACCCTAAGAATGCGCCTTGTTCAGCACCTCCCCGTACTTCACGTCCTACGTTTTGCACATCCAAACTGCAGCTACGTAGCTACGTGAAGCGGCATCGGCATGTTGAGGCTCGCGCCTGTCTGAAAAGCTTCACAATGAACTCATTCGTGCTGGCCCCCATGCACTCGATGAGGTCCTGTGGCACTGACAAGGTATGGAGTTTGTTAGAGGCTGAATCTGAAGGACAAATCTCAGATCCCGACATTGCTGAGCTGATCTTTGTTTTTGTCCAGGAAGCCATCGGAACCTGCTCCGGTATGGACTCCGCGGAGTTGCTCTGCAGGGCAAGAGATAAGATTGCACGAATGCCGAGCAGCAGTAGCTCACGGGGCCGGCGAAGTGCTTGATCACAAACCTTTGCTGACAAGCACTTCCCTTGACTGTGAAACTTCCTGTGAAACAAATGGAGCAGTCTCTCGGCGCAGCACCACGAGGGCTTCGTCTTGATCTCGTCAAAGCGCCGGTGACCTCTGTGTCAGATGTGTTGGAACACGCGCGTCATTTGCAAGGCTGGAAGACACAAGGGAGCCAATTGAAAAGAACACAAAATTGCACAAACGGCACAAACGGCTGTAGATTTTCTGAGTTTGCTGTTCTGAACGTTCTCAGATCAGCACCTCGGTGCTGCTTGATCAGCTTGTTGGTGAAGCCCTGGTCCGAGCCTTGGGGGACAACCTCAGAGTGTCAGAGCTCGGCTCAAGATCCACTTCTAGTGATCGCCACACGATCACCACTTTCGCCACTATCACCACTTATGTCGTGAACGTCGTGTCTTCTGACGCAGGGCGAAAGCACGCTGGATGTGCAAATGCATAGATGCATCTGGCATGCATAGGCCATCCACCTTCTACACGCGCATTCACACCGCAGCTCTTCTGAGGGGTCGCTTTCTTCATGCTTCTTCATGTCCCTTAGTCCCTTTCTTTTGTTTCGCCGACCTTTCCTCTTTCGTGGGTCTCGCCTTGTGCTTCACTCATTCTGGCAATCTCACTCGGTCACCTTTCTTCTCTCTGTGGAGCTCACACACGCAGATACACGCAGGTCCTCACTCCGCGCAGCGCTGCACAGCCCAGGATGGGAGTCTTCAAAAAAGAAGCTCAGCTGTTAAAACGAGCCCTGGGCTTTGATTATCCACGAAGAAGCTCCCCCCCCCCCCCCCCCCCATATTTGAAGCTCTCTACCTCCTCTACCTCCTCTACCTCCTCTTCTTCCTCTTCTTCCTCTTCTTCCTCTTCTTCCTCTTCTTCCTCTTCTTCCTCTTCTTCCTCTTCTTCTCTGGCGGGGCTTAAGATCGAGGACGACCCCCGTCACCTCGCTCGAGGTCTCCGGGCTGCCCGCGATACTCTCTGCCAGTGCCCAATCATCTCTTCAACTCTTTCTCTCCCTCTTCTCTCCCTCGTGTTTCCTCTTTCTCTCCCTCTTCTTCGGGGTACCCCTAACCTGATATCACCCCCTGCAAACACACTTCGGCTGCGTTGTCTGAACTAACGTCTATTTCTTTGCCTCTCCTTCTACGTATCCCTCTTTGTTGTGTTTTTCTCTCTCCCCTTCTTTCTCTCTATGTCTCTCTCTCTCTCGCTCTCTCTCGCTCTCTCTCTTCTCTCTCAGCTCTCTCTCTCTCTCTCTTCTCTCTCAGCTCTCTCTCTCTCTCTCTCTCTCTCTCATCTCTCTCTCTCTCTCTCTCATCTCTCTCTCTCTCTCTCTCTCTCGCTCTCGCTTCTCAATTGTTTTCTGAAGCTTCCGGCGCACTCCTCATCGAGAATTGCGAAGACCCCGGTGCCCTCGATCGGTGAAGACACATTTGACACTAGCTGACTCATTGCCCACAACATCATGCTGCAGAAGTTTCAAATGGAGGCTAGAGGGCACTTCTCACGAATGAACCTCTGAGAAAAACTCCAAGGAACACTCTGAGACCACAGCCTTTGCTTGCAGCATGTCCACAGCATCCTGCGCTCAGCTTTTTGTTTCGTGGTCTTTTGTCCATTTCTAGGATTTCCTAGGAAAACCTCCATGCCCTCAATATTTTCATAGGATTCATCAAACTTTTCGTTGTTTGCTCGAATCCTTCTTCATTTCGGCTCTGTTTCCTTGGTCTTCTCTGAGAAAGAAACCCTCTATTCCCTGCATATTGTCATAGGAATCATTCCACTGTTCATGTGATTTATTATAAATTTGGCTAAGACATCGATGAGTTTTGCTCGAATCTCGTTTATACATTTTTCAACGGTTCATAGCATTTCTTGTTAATGCATTTTCTTTCTTTCACAGGACAACCTCTACTTTTACTATACCAACAACAATGCTTGCATGATGGGGTTGCAAGCAAACACAATGCTCGCCTGATGGGTCTCAGATAGATTCATATGCTGCGAAGAAAGCTTGCACAACTTAAAGAAGTGGGAGGGGTTGTGGGGTGGGGGGGGGGGGGGGGGGGGGGGGGGGGGGGGGGGGGGCAGCCACCCCCATTCGCTGACACAATGCTTTCGAAAAGAAACCGGAACTCTGCATTGTTCCTTCCTTTTCCTTCCTTGTCCTTCCTGTTCCTTCCTTGTCCTTCCTGTTCCTTCCTTTCCCTTCTTTGTCCTTCCTTTTCCTTCCTTGTCATTCTTTTCTTTCCTTCTTTCCCTTCCTCCCTCCCTCCCTTCCTTCCTTGCTTCCTTGCTTCCTTCCTTCCTTCCTCCCTTCCCTCCCTCCCTTCCTTCATTCCTTCCTTCGCTTCCTTCGTTTCCTTCTGGCTTCGTTTCTTGTTTCGTTTCCTTCCTTTCCTTCCTTTCCTTCCTTTTCTTCCTTTTCTTCCTTTTCTTCCTGTTCTTCCTTTTCTTCCTTTTCTTCCTTTTCTTCCTTTTCTTCCTTTTCTTCCTTTTCTTCCATTCTTCCTTTCTTTATGTCTTCATGTCTTCATTTCTCATTTCTTCCTTTCTTCCTTTCTTCCTTTCTTCCTTTCTGCCTTTCTTCCTTTCTTCCTTTCTTCCTTTCTTCCGTTCATCCTTTCTTCCTTTCTTCCTTTCTTCCTTTCTTCCTTTCTTCATTTCTTCATTTCTTTATTTCTTCATTTATTCATGTCTTCATTTCTTCATTTCTTCATTTCTTCATTTCTTCATTTCTTCATTTCTTCATTTCTTCATTTCTTCATTTCTTCATTTCTTCATTTCTTCATTTCTTGATGTCTTCATGTCTTCATGTCTTCATTTCTTCATTTCTTCATTTCTTCATTTCTTCATTTCTTCATTTCTTCATTTCTTCCTGTTTCCTTTCCCCTTTCTTCCTTACTTCATTTATTGTTTACTTCCTTGCTTCTTCTTTTCCTTTCTTCCTTTCACTTGTTCTTCCTTTCTTTCTTCCTTCCTTTCCTTCTTTCTTTCTTTACTTCTTCCCCAAGTCGAAACCCACGGAAAGGAACCTCTCACAATACAAAGGGAACTGCGGTTTTCAGAAAATGCCAAGAAAACAGACCCCAAAAAAGAGGATAACAAAACATAGGCCATCCTTTTTGAATTGGGCACCACTGAATCATTCGAGGTTTTGTGGCTTCGTGTCCTGGTTGTCAGGGAAGTCGAGCGGATCCCATTCGATGCCTTCGCGGTCATAGAGCTGCTCCTGGAAGCCCCACATAGCAGGAAAAGAGAAGTACTTGACATTGCATCAGCGCTTGTACTCGAATCACTGGCACGCACATCATGCAGGACCGAGGGCTTTGAAGAGCCGGTGGGTGGCTCCCCGCATGTTGAACTACGGTTTCTCATGAACGGATCTCAACCTTGAGACCTTTTGCTATAACGCACGACAACAAAGAAGTCACGTCGTTGGGTCCCACTACTTCGCCACTTCCCGATGCGACTGTTAAGTTGCGATTTGCTCTCATGGGCCTGGGGCCTAGACATAGCAACGCGGATAAACGAACATGATTGCATGCTACAGGCTCTAGTGACCCCCCCGTACTGACAGAAAAGGGTAGTTTCGACACTCCTCCTTGTATCCACCACCAAGAGGCACATTGCAAAAAAACATATGGCAGGATCACTAATTACGTTCTTGTCCTACCCTTCCGAGCGACATGCAAGAAACGAATTGCTGCACAGCCTGCTCTCCAAACCTTACGAGCGCATTACTACTATTCCGGGTGACGTCAAAGCATTCTGAATCGGCGCGGCTGCACATGGTCTGATTTGAGCTGACTTGAGCTGATTGCTCCTAGACACCTGTGCAGCCTGTGCAAGCTCGACAGCAGAAAACGCGTACACAACTTGTATAGAGTACATTGAGAAGGTGGATCCTGCAGGCTTAGGGTTGGAGTCCGTTGGAGTCTTGGGGGTTTCTGCATTGCAGGGAACGGTTTAAGTTTAGGTGTCAGATGGTGTCAGGCTTCGGTTGGTATAGATCAAGGGGCCAGATCTCACCAAGCAAAGCTACAAAGGCCTTGTCGCGGAACGGACCCGGCGGGGAACAGGGGCCAAGTCGAAACGCTGCCCGTTGCCCACACATACGGAGGCACACTGCATCTCTTCGGTTCCGACGGCTTCTGGCCGTAAAGTAGCACGGCTGGTGCTTTGCAACGGCGAAGTCTACACCGTCTACACGCCTTGCCCTGTGCAGTTTCGAGACACAAGCCCCCTTGCAATTGAACCGGTGCGGGGGGGTGGTTGCGAGCTGCCGGCGGCATTTGTGTGCTCACGCTACCGCGCAGCACGCCAGCCTTTCCATGCCTTGACCCTGCGCCCTGTAAGCTGCACTGCAGGGCAGCACGGCTCTCCGCTCAGGCTGCACAACAGCTTCTCATCCCAAAGGCCAGCGGGGCCGATTACGAGAGCTTCACTGAAGGGCACTGACGTCTTCTCAACGTCCCCCGTCTCCTCCAGCTTGAAGACAAAAGAGTTGAAGAACTGCTGGAGTCGCTCATTGGTGAAGTTGATGCAAAGCCTACGGACAACGCGAATCGTACTCAGCTGGAGAGAATGAACCTGATTTCACAGTTTCTCTGCCTGCACACCTTTGCCGCTCACGGCTGGCACTCTGAAGCAAAATCTCCCAATCATGCAGCACCATCTTGATGGGACGACGCTCGACTGCACTTCGTCAACTTCAGAGAAGGAGAAAGAGAGCGAGACCAAAGAGAAAGACACAGCGCGAGAGAGACACAAAGAGAGACAGAGAGAGAGAGAGAGAGAGAATCCAGAAAGCCAATAAGTACCGAGCTGTTCGAAGGAGTTCATCTTGAAGCATTCGAAACCTCGGTCAAAATGTCACTCAAAGTGTCCGAGTACGCGGAGCGCGATGAGTCCGAGGCCAAAGATGTCCAAGACGCCTGCGAAAAGCTTCACGTCCTGTGCACATCCGCTGCTTTGCTGATCTCTGATTCATCTGACTCTGTCAGTTTAGATGTTGGCCTCGACATAACCGATGGACATGTTGGTGCTCTGCCTTGGCACTCAGAAGCTCGAGCCTCTGGAGTTCACAGGCGTGCTATGAGCACCAGGCACAATGAAGTTGAAGACGATCCCATACACCGCCTTTGCCAGTGCATCCCTGTTGTCCGCGGCTTGTCCTCATCCACAACTCTTCTGACCGAAGGATGAAAAGCGGGCCAGGCCCAAGAAAAGGCCCATGGCTAAGGGCGAGGCGGACGTTCACAGGGCTACGAATCTTCTCGCTGCGTGTGACGCGCGTCTGGCTGCAGAGCGCAGACCTGAAGCCAAGAGCTGTCCAAGACTAAGAACTGTCTCCTGACAGGTCTGCTCCTGACACTGTCTCCCCCCAAGCCAGGCACTCCAAAGACTTGCGATCGACCCCCAGCAGCTTGCTGGCCATCTCCTCGGCTCGAAGAACAGAAAGGGAGCGAGCGAGAGCGAGCGAGAGCGAGCGAGAGAGAATTAGAGACGGAGAGAGAGAGAGAGAGAGAGAGAGAGAGAGAGCGATGGAAGAATACACAAGATAGAGAGAGAGAGAGAAACAAAAAAGCAAAAAAAGAGCGCCGGAGAGAAGGAGAGAAGGAGAGAAAGAGAGAAAGAGGCCATCGAAGGGGCTGGGAGGAGGGAAGAGAGGACCGGAGAGGGCAGAAAAGCTACGGAGCTCTCTGAGCTCTCTGAGCTCTCGCACTCTCTCTTTCTCTGTCTCGCTTGGTGGGCGTCTGCCGTGCCGAGATGCGACGGAGCGGTCACACTCCGCCATGGCCATGGAGCCTCCCGCAGAACACAGAGCTGAGAGCAGGGAGGAACTCTAAATTTTGAGGGTTCTCCGCTGGTTCTCCCTCTCCCCACTCTCCGTCTCTCCCCTTCTCACTCCTTCGCTGTTGTTGGGCGGCGCGTCGAACTTCACGTTGCCCAGGTGGAGCACCTGAGCTGTGCAACAGAGATCAACCGATTCCCCTCATCGATCCATTGAATCAAAAACATAGACTCTTTCTCCCCATCTTCTCCCCCATCTTCTCCCCCCCCTAGCACCGCTCAGGAACTCCACTGCACCCTGTTCTCTCGCAGTGTGCTCCGGCAGTGTTCTTTCTCGCTCTCTCTCTCTCTCTCTCTCTCTCTCTCTCTCTCTCTCTCTCTCTCTCTCTCTGTCTCTCTCACTGGTCTTGTGGACCGGGTCGCCGCAGCGACCATGCGCAGGATCTGCGTCACCTGACCAGAACCAGCTGCATCAGGTGCATCAGCTCCAGAAGGACGTTTTTTCTTTCTTTCGTCACCTGGTCGTGCGGGATCCCGATGGTCTGCATGGCCTCCCCAAGGGATGCCGAAGGCAAAAAGCGATATGAGAAGGACGTGCGTGCGAACTCCCCTCCGCTGTTGCTGATTGTTTGCTGCAACTTTTACTCAGCGCCCGGCGTGGATCCGCCTCTCGAACATCTCCACATCATCCACGTCCTTCCTGATCGTCTGCAAGAGCACTCGCGGGGCCGCTGCAGAATGCTGCAGGATGCTGAAGGGCATGAGTCAGAGTTTGCACTGATTTCTGAATGCACTGACCAAGTAACAAGGACTTACAGGAAGATCGCGTGAGGTAGGCGAAGTTCGTGAGCTCCGAGAAGCCCTCACAAAACACGCACGTGCAAGAAAGTGCTGCGCACGGCAGCGCTGCCTGCGCGCAACACTGGACTCGGCCCCCACCACTCTCGCCCGTGTGCCCCTATGGCCCGGCTGGGCCATCTGAGTCTGCAGAATCCTGTGAACGCCTCGAGGTTGAGGGTCACCTCCTCCTTGACCTTGCCTTTGGCGAGCCTCTGGGGAAACCTCAGGGCTCTGAGTGCCGAGCATCATCGATGTGTGTGTGTGCCCGGACTCAAACGAAATCTCAAAAACCTCGAAACAACAAACGTGGACACTCTAACAGAGAAAGATGCCAGACATCTCACCGCCGGTGTTCTCGTGTTCTCATTGTGTTCTCATTCCACACCAGGAGAACACACACAAAAACATAGAAATTTCGAGCGGCGCGTAGTCGCCGGAGGTGGCCAGAGCGGCAGCGGCGCAGGCCTGTCTCAGGAGAAAGGAGGGAGAGAATCAGAACCCACCGTAAGCACAGTGTCAGGGGCTGGGGTGTTTTTGCCCGAAGGCTGCGACGCAAAAAGTGCCATGTCTGGCAAGCCACCCCTTTAAACCAATGGGCAGTGTGAGGAGGTTGGATTCTGCCTAAGATAAAGCGGCATAGGCATGCGCTATTTCTGGGCTGAAGCCGATACAGCACAAAACCTCATGTGTTCCCTCGTCACTAAAGGCATTTCGCTAAAGCCCAGACCCTATTACCAAAGAAATTTTACTAAAGCCCAGATCCTATTCCAACACTTTCAACGTGTGTTGTTTAGGAAAAGTCATGCCTCCTATTCCTGTATGCCCTTGAATGTATTGAAGATTTAGGCTGAAACCTAGTCCAGAAGCTCATGTTTTCCCTTGCCACTGAAAGCATTTCGCTAGGGACCAGGCCCTTTTCCCGAAAGCAGTTTTTCTAAAGCCCAGACCCCGTACTTTCAAGGAATATTATTTAGGAATAATCATGCTTCTGCTTCGGCGCCTGCGGGGTGTATACTTAATGTTTAAGCCTGAGCGGCATTCCTGCGAATGTTTTAGCCCTATCTAAACCTTTGTTCCTAAAGCCTAAACCGTTTAGGGTTTAGGGTTTAGGGTTTAGGCTTAGTGCTGAGGTGAAGCCCCAGCAGGCTGTGCAGAAACAAGTGGAGTGATCAATTCCCCTGCTCCTAAACCTGCCATGGCTCACCAAACGCGCGGAGTTTTACACACAGCAAAGAGAATCCGAAGACAATCTTGAAGTCTTGATGCTACACTACTACAGAGCTTGGCACCTATATACGTGATACATACGTAAAAAAATGACATGCTCAAGGCTTTGGTTTGGGCCTATAAGCAAAGGAAAACAACGAGCTACAGCTAGACATGTGCAGGTACTACGCTTCAACACTCCTCCTTCGCTCCTTCGCCAGGAGGAAGCGACAACAAAAACCTGTACATGTCCAACCCTTCCGGGAGGAGGTACAAGCTCCTACGGGAGGAAAAGCTGCAATGGCTTTACGCTGGCCGGCTGGCCTCACTGTGAGGGCTCTCAGGGCACCTCTTGCAAAAGGAAGGCAAAATTGGCAAAAGTGTGCGACGCAATGCGCATCCTGCCCGTCAGGGCGGCGGTCGCCCTGCCGAGCTACGCAGGTCAGCTTCGCCTTCTCCTCCTGGCCCCACCTGCCTGATGGCCTTGAGTGCCTCTTGCATGAATGCTACCATGTTCATGCTCACTGGAGTTGCGGGCACAATTGGTTGAGACGTGGGTGATGTGGATGATGATGCGGCAGGGGCAACTGGTTCCTGCATGGACGTGGGTACCTGACCTTGTTGGGCCTGCGAATCCGGCTTGGGGGATTTGCCTGCAGTGCAATCCCTTGCGCGATGCGCTTCCGAGCCACAACTCAGGCACTTCCGCTCACGCTCAGCGTGGGACAGCTCGCTCATGGAATGCTGGTATCGGCACTTTGGGCCAAACTTGCAACCCTTAGGCGATAGAAAGAACTTGCGTGCTTTGCCCCCCGCCCCACTGGGACATTCGCCTCCTTCATTTGCGCTCCCGGCCTTGAGCTGCAGGGCGTGGGCATCGTCAGGTTTCACTGGCACCATTGCTCCAGCTAGCGTCTCAAACTCAGCCAACAGATGCCTGTGATAGGACCTGACCGCCTCTTCCGAGGGGCGCCCGTGGAGTTGCAGCGTGCTTTTCACGAGCTCCGTGCGCCAAGTCACCTCCGGCTCTCCCCGGAGCACTGGCTTTGTCATTGAGGAAAGAGCGCCTACCAAGACCATGGGATCAGGCAAGTTCATACCGCAATCGACGCAACGCTGATACCACCGACCCCAAGCCCTCAAAGCCACCTGACGCTGCATCTTCCACATCCGTGGGATGTTGCAGATTGCTCAACACCAAGGTCCTCTCGGCCGTCCCTCCCGGGAGGTACTGAGTGTGCAACCTGAACAAGATGTGCGACGCAACCTGGGTGGTTTTACGGGCTATGAGGTCCGACTTAACGGTTTCATGCAGGGCACCCAACAGCATCACGCACGCTCTGGCATTCACCCTACTCCATTTACCCTCGACCAACTCGGGCCTATCATCTGGCTGTATGCGCAGGCGCTCAATGGGACTTGACACTACCCACCTCTCATAGGCATCACGGCTCACCTGCAAAACAGCTGCCCACCATGAACCCGAAGTGTCCGAAAGATCACCCATCAATCCACCTACCAACTGCAGCCAATCCTGGAAATCTAGGGAACCTGTTGAGGGATCTGGAGCGGCTAACTTGGGCAAATCTGCGGTTCCGGGCTTTACAACTTCAGGAGCGTCACTATCCTGGTTCCGGAGCTGCTGCAACTGTACGCTTTGCAGCTGTTGCATCCCTAAGAACAATGCATCCAATGCTGGGCTACCTGAAGCAAGGCCATGAGTTCCCCCGGGAAGCGCGGGAACCGCTCCTCCTGGAACTGAGCCTCCTTGCAAACCTGGCGGCGGTGGAACCTGAGGCAGGCCGTGCATTGCACTGTCAGCTGCTCCTCCTGGAGCTGCGGCTGGCGGCACCTGCGTACCTGAGGCCTGCGCGTGTGGCACCTGTGAATAGGCACCAACCCTTCCGGGCGGTGACGCGGGCACCTGTGTACCTTGCACCTGTGGCACCTGCGCGGGAAGATCCGCTTGCATAGTTCCAGCCCTTCCGGGTGGAGGAGAGCTGGCATCCCTGTCGGACCTACGCGAACCTCCTAACCCGGACCATAAACTCGACAACAAACCCGGAAAAGATGTAGCCTGAATAGCGGGCGCCACACTCCTACTGGCATCAACCGCTTGAGATGCAACACCTTGTACCTGAGACATGTTGGGCACGGAAGCCTGAGACAGCTGAGACTGCATTGCAACCTGCGGAGGCTGCACCGGGACATGTGCAGTGGACTGGGCGCTCGAAAGTGCTGCAGCCCTCAACGCCTGCTCCCTGTGAGCGTTGGCCTCTGCAATCTGCTGCCTGAGCCTTTGAATCTCTAGCTCCTGCGCTGCAATCTCTAACTCCCGTGCTGTAGCGCGCTGGTCCAAAACGGCCAGTTGCCTAGCAACCTCTGCCTGGATGACCTCTTGAGGGATTGATGTGGCATCTGTGCCACTTTGAGGTCTGTCAGAAACTACGGGTTGGCTAGGGTAAAACAATGGGGCCCTATGCTCTAAAGCTTGCATACGCTGCAACATCTCTGCATTGAGCAACGGGGTCTCCCTTCCGGGGCCCGGGGCAAATGAAGTGGGGGTGCTGCGTGAACCCACCACCTGCGGCGGGGAACCTGTCTGCGAACCCACACTCCCATCTCCCAAGGGCAACGGGCCTGCACGCGCGTGCATCGCACTTCTTGGCGGGGTGGCTTGCTGCTCAACTGACGGCACAACCGGAAGTACCTCAGTCCTAGCCACCTGAAAAAACTCTCCAACCCTCGACATAATTCGAAGGCCGGTTGCAGGAAACCCCTCAACCATTTCGGCGATGGTAGGCAATCCCTGCTGTGACCTCGGAGTAACAAACCCCTCTCCCCCCACGGTCTCCCCAGTTGACCTTATACCCCCCAGCACTCCACCCCCGCTCAAATCCGTAGCCGGACGGGCCTCACTTGATGCGGCTTGATGTGCGCTGGCGTTGGCCTCTGGTCCTGGGCTTCCGCCTGGAGCTATGCTTCGTGGTAGTGCACTTCGGGGTGCACTTACAATCATCCCACCATCAGTGGTGGTCGACACCTGGGGTGTGCCTTCTGCTGGGTCCCCACCTCCAGACGCCCTTCCCGCAGCCGTGTCCGATGCAAAGCCCACTCCACCTGCGGCGTGCACTTGCGCAGGTGTTGGCGTTGCATCCTGTGAACCTGGGTGACCATCCCTCCCGGGTAGCGGGGATGGCATATTGCCCAGGGTGCCATAGTGCCCTTGCCCAAGCGTTGGGCTCATAACCTGCTGAGGTGAAGCCCCAGCAGGCTGTGCAGAAACAAGTGGACTGATCAATTCCCCTGCTCCTAAACCTGCCATGGCTCACCAAACGCGCGGAGTTTTACACACAGCAAAAAGAATCCGAAGACAATCTTGAAGTCTTGATGCTACACTACTACAGAGCTTGGCACCTATATACGTGATACATACGTAAAAAAATGACATGCTCAAGGCTTTGGTTTGGGCCTATAAGCAAAGGAAAACAACGAGCTACAGCTAGACATGTGCAGGTACTACGCTTCAACACTTAGGGTTTAGGGTTGAAGGTCCAAGGTTATTCTTGGTTCTAGGGTTCCCGTACTTGAAACGGGTAGTTTCCAAATCTATCTATGAGAGCTTTATTTGCTTATATTTATGTCGGTTATTTTTTGCCACCCGCCTGGCTGACTCAGAGAGACCCACTGACCCACTGCAGGGAACTATGTCGGCTTTAGGGAGTAGGGTTAGGTTGCTTAGGATGTAAAAAGCTTTCCCAGGGATCTTTAGAATTTAAGAAGCCCCTCTTTAGGGCTTAGGAATTTAGACTTCGCTTTGGGGATCCCACTCTTTGGGATTGAGCGAAAGGATTTAGGGAATAGGGCCATTGTCTTCGAGATTAAGGCTTCTGTCTTTTCGTTACTTATAAGGACCACCCGCCTTATGCATGGTTTTTCGGCATAGGGTTTGGGGAATAAGATTAAGGGAATACGATTTAGGGAAGAAGACGTAAGGATCCCGCTCTTTAGGGTTTAGCGAAAACAGGATTTATGGACAAGTTTTTAAAAAACTTAGGGACTCTCCTTTATGATCCAAAGGCCCCCCCGCATGTGAACAGAGGTTGCATCTTTCTGGCCATTGCTCAAACCGTAGCAAGATTTACCGATTCAACCTGAATCGGCGCGATTCAGGTTGAATCGGCCCCCGGAACCAAGAACCAAGATTTCCAGGAAAAGTTCTGTGGGAATCTTGGTTCTTAATTCCGGGCCCCGGTTCA